TCTGAGCTCAGGGTTTGGGTCAATGACTGAGTGTTGCTGGGTCTGGTGTCTCTTCCAGCTTTGTCTCTGCCATTGGGTTTTCTGGCCACTTAATTGTTGACAGGCAGCTCTAAGTGCTTGGGAGAGTGACTGGTTTGGGTCAAATAATCACAAAATAAGGTTTGAGATTATTTTCACTAATATTTTGCAGGTGCTGGAGTGCTCCTGGTTAGTGGAGGGAGTAACCCCAGAAGTGGCAGCATGATGGTTTTGCTGCTCAGGTGTTTCTGCTTTGCAGTTTTGCAGTTCATCCCAGTGCTGCCCAACCCAGACCTTCCAGCAGCCCCGGGCAGAATCCAGAGTGTCCCATCGACTCCATGCCCTTGCCAGTGCTCCCAGTGGATGAAATGGAAGGCTCAGTGTTCTACTTCGGGCTTTTAACTCTTGCAACAGAGGATTTTCTCAGTATTATATCATTGTAGAATGTGCTGAGTGGGAGGGACCCACAAGGATCATCCAGTCCAACCCCTGGCCCTGCCCAGGACACCCCAACAATCCCACCCTGTCCCTCAGAGCGTTGTCCAAACGCTCCTGGAGCTCTGGCAGCCTTGGGGCCGTGCCCACTGCCCTGGGGAGCCTGGGCAGTGCCCCAGCACCCTGTGGGGGAAGAACCTTTCCCTGAGATCCATCCCAACCCCCCTGGCACAGCTCCAGCCATTCTCTTAAGTAATAAAGCTTTAAAATTGCTCTTGTCTGCTTTGTAACCTTGGTGTGCCTCAGAGCTCTCACCTGGAACACCTGGTTCCTAAAAACCACAGCTGTTCCCTGTCCCTTCAAAGGCTTTACCCCAGGCTTGGCCAGGGCTTTGCTCCTCAGAAATGTGCTGATGGTGCTCTGTACCCGGGTCCCATGTCTCGATTCTTTATTTCTAGGCAGCTGAGGGATGATGTTGATGATCCCTCTCCTGCAGATGAGGATGTTGAAGGAGGCAGAGGATGCCAAGGGCTGGAGTTCTCCCAAGTACCGCACTGGCTGTCACATTACACTGCCCAGCACCATAAGAACATTGAATCTCTAGATGATCTATGATGGGGCTTGAAAGAACAGTCACTTGGACATCTTTACACCTGCTTTATTATGGCCAACAGGACTCAGAAGTGAAGTTCTTGTGCTGTTTTAAAACCCCATAGGATTTTCAGAAAAATACAGAAAAAAAAACAGCAAAAGCATTATCTGAAGCCTCTTCCCCCACTTCTTGTCCCAGACTCCTAAATCTGTCTGAATTATTAACTCACTGCAAGAATTGTATGTTGTCTCATCCCCTCAGGGGCACCCAGGACGTGAAGTGATTGCTTTTTTGATGTACTTCAAGATCATCCAGAATAAAAAAAACCCTGTGTGTATTTCCCAAGGTACAAGTGACAGGTCTTGCCTAAAGTTTCAGCTCCTTCAGCATTCGCCTTTTGTGGCTTTCATGCATCTGGACCTGCCAAAGTCATGCTGTCACCAGCTGAGGGGCCCCTGGAGCCTGTTGGAAGCCAAAGGCTATTACAAGGTCTGGCTTAAGAGGCTCCACTCCTCTGATTTATCAAAGTAAGTCTTGGCTAAGCTGCCCTGGTATGAACTGGGAGGTGATGGTGATCAACCTCCCTGTTCCTTTCGGTGGTCAGGAGCAGTTTGAGGTCCTGGTTCACCAGGGTCTGCTGACAATGTCCTGTTGGGTTGGGAATTTGAGGTCCCTACATTTGCTCTTTGGAAGTAGTTGTGCACAGGGAAGTGGGAGATGGCTTCTGTTTTGGCAAGGACATGTTTGACATCCCAGGAAATACCTTCCCAGAGCCAGAGCAGTGACAACCTGCACTGTGACTGATGGAGACCAGGGCACTGCACTGGTAGACCTGGATTTAAGGTCAGAAACTGGGCAAATAAAGTAGAAAGACTCAGAGCCCAACAGCCACCTGACAGCAAAGTTTACTGCGTTTTGACAGCAAAGTTTTCTGTTTGGAGTTTTAAAAGACTAAAGATGAGTCTAAGATTTAAATCTAATTTGCAACAAGGACGGAAATTTTGCAAGATCCCAAAATCATGTGTAAAATAATGTCCTGGTGGTTAGTGATGGTCTTGAAAGGTCTTCAGCAGAGTAGGAGCACAAGGTTTGCCTCATCAGGGCTGCTCAGGATTGCTTTGAACACTGTTTACTGCTCTGTGTTGTGAGGATTAAACAGATTCAGACTGGGCAGGATTAGAGGGTGGTCAGAGGAAAGTCCCGAAGAGGAAACTCTGAAGAGGAAAATCAATACAACTGGAGGCTGGGGAAGTTAAAGGCTTGGAGTTCAGCTCTGCTCTTGCAAAATCTCATCAGCTCTGAGGGGTGAGGATGTGTTTCCATGTGACCAGAGTGTGTTTGGGCACGTGTGTGACTCGTGAGGGGCAGTGGAAGTTTGTGTTCACATTTCCTATGTGAAAGGTCTGCTCTGGGTGTTGAAATGCTCCACTAACAGGCAGCTTGTGATCTCCATTTTCCAAGTATAACACTGTTCAGAGCAGAGAGAAATAATGGGCTAGATCTGCCCAGGGCTTTCTGTTCATTTTAAATTATAGCAGCAAAGGGGCTTTGTTTATTTGAATAGGATGTAGGGAAATGGAGTTATTTAAGACTAGTTCATGCTTTATCCTTAGTGCCTCCCTTACTGAGGCTGGAACTGTGTTTGCTGGCTGTGCATGGACTTTGTAAAAGCTGCCCATGTTCTCTGTGGCCCCCGGGATCTGTTTTATGTTCTGGGCTCTCTCCAGCCCAGGCCTGGTCTCTGCTGTGCCCATTCAATCCCACACCCAGCTGGGCCTTTCCTGGAACCTCTGGGATGCTACAAAGCTAAATAAGCACATTCAGTGATCAAAACTGTGTTTAAAAATTCATATTCCTGCACTAAATACTAAGCAAGGATTATATACTTTGAGCCTGTATCATATTATATATATGTATATACTTTGAGCCTGTATTATATTACAGATATATATATGTATATTACTTTAAGCCAGTATCATGTTACCCAAGTATTATACTTTGGGGGTGTACATCTGGAGAAGAGAAACCTCCAGGGAGACCTGAGAGCCCCCTCCAGTGCCTAAAGGGGCTCCAGGAGAGTTGGAGAGGGACTGGGGACAAGGGATGGAGGGACAGGACAAGGGGAATGGCTTCCCAGTGCCAGAGGGCAGGGTTAGATGGGATATCGGGAAGGAATTCTTCCCTGTGAGGGTGGGGAGGCCCTGGCACAGGTTACCCAGAGAAGCTGTGGTTGCCCCAGCCCTGGAAGTGTCCAAGGCCAGGCTGGAGTACCCTGGGCTAGTGGAAGGTGTCCCTGCCCACGGCAGGAAGTGGAACAGGATGAGCTTTAAGACCCCTCCCAACCCAAACCATTCTGGGATTCCCAACCTGTCCATTTGATGGAACCCACCTAATGCTACTGTAGGAGTCAGCAGAGATTCCTGGAAAAAACAAGTGCTAAGCAAAGTTTGAGGGCTTTTAAATGCTTTTGTAACATCTATTTGGTACTTTTGGGTATTTCCAGCCCTCCAGATGAATTTCCTGCATTACCTCACGAGCAGCTGCTTTGGGCACCTTTCTGTTCCCAGCCCTGTCACTCAACTCAAACCCACACACTGGTAGGGGGGAAAAATATCCTCTCTTTGGCTTCCCTTGCCCTTGGTATCTCTGGTTTTGTGCTGCCAGTCCCACCTGCTCGGGGTTTGTGTGAGTTAAGCCTGGCTTAACTGACATCTGTTGTCCCTTCAGACTTTTCCTGCTCAAGCCAAGTTTTCTGTGCGTCACTGAGAGGGCTTAGATCGTGTCTGGAGCCTGGGAATTTCCAAGTTTTCTGCTCTTTTTGGAGCCTATTGCTTTACAGAGCAGTACAGAGATTGGTAACATCCTGACAACTTCCAGGAAACCCTCTTTCTGGTCAAGATTTTAATGGGAATTAACTTTTAAAGTTATGCAGATATGTGTGAGTTCTAAATACTGCTGGGACACCATCCATGTTTCTTTAGGAAATCCTATTCCTGGGAGCATCAGGATTTTCAGGGACTTGGGTCCCTCTTCTCAAGAGGAAAAAGGATGAAGAAAGGTGGAAAATACAAGAATCATGAATATATCAGAAATCACGACCTTGTAGATTAGTTTGTTCATCCCTGTCAGCGAGGAACCTTCTGCCTGATCCCTTCTCCAGCCTCCTCTCCGGTTCTTCCCTATGTGATGGGTTTTCCTTGTGTGCCTGTGGTATTTATTCCATATTCTAATAGATCTGTCCACTAGGAAATGTTTTCTGAGGTTCAAACTCAACTTTCCTTTGTTCTAGTTTATTCCATAACACTATGGGCTGTGTTTGGATTGATAGGACCTGGACCTTTTCAGGGCAGGAACAGAGGAGATGACAAAGAAATCCAAGGAAATAAATGTGAGTTTGCCAGAGGCCTCTGTTTTTGGGTATATTTGCTGTTACATTGATTGGCAGCAAATCTCTGAAGTCCTCCTTGAGTATTCAGATCATTATCCAGCAGGTGCCAGGTATCCTAAATTTTCCCACAGTGCCACTGAGGCTCACAGGCAGTTTAAAGAAAATCTCCCAAAGGAGACAAATTTTGATGTCACGTCTGTGCATAAAGGGAAGAGAATGGCTGGCTATGAGTATTGGACCTCAAACCACCATTTCAGCAAGTTCTGACCTATCTAAACCCCGCTCACCTTCAAAAAGAGTGTGATGTCCCCTGACTTAGACCCAAACTTGAACGGATGGAGTAACCGGCAGAGAGCGGTCACACAATGGATTCATTTGGGCCTGTTGACACCAGGGTTTCACCCCTATTAACTATTTGGGCCTGTTAACACCAAGGCTTTACAGGATCTTCCCTCTAAACCCCCAGTGCTGTCGGGGTGGGCAGGAAGGCACAAGACAAGGAACAAAGCAGCCATGACGCGCAACCACGACCGAAGATGCCGACAGAAAAAAAAAAGTGCCTCTTACCTGGTTTGCAGATGAGCCCGATGGCTTTGGAGGCTTCCTTGCAGCAGATGTGAAGGAGGAAAGGAACAAAGAGGGAAAATCTTCTTTGTTGAGTGAGAAATGTGTCGATTTTGGGAAACAGGAGGGGAATGGGCTGCACCATCCAGTGAGTGCTCAGGCATTCGCAAACCACCGTTGCTGGTTTCTTTGAAATGTGACCTATTTCCTTGTTGCACAGGAAAGGAAAGAAGAGAGAAGAAAAGCTGGGTAGCTCAGAAGAGTGAAAGAACTCTGAGATCATCTCAGTGCCGGGGCATGGGGCTGCTATGGGAAAAAACAAGTTCTCTTCTTGCTCTTTGAACAGATGCTCATGGGGAAGTGAGTGTCTTTGCATGAGTGTCTCTGCCACAGAATCACAGAATTAATTAGGTTGGAAAAGACCTCCGAGATCATCGAGTCCAACCTGTGACTGATCACCACCTTATCAACTAGACCAGTGTCACTTCCAGTTGTTCCTTGAACACCTCCAGGGATGGGGACTCCACCACCTCCCTGGGCAGCCCCTTCCAATGTCTAATCACCCCTTCTGTGAAGAAATTCTTCCTAATGTGCAATGTAAACCTCTTCTGGCACAGTTTAAGACTATGTCTTATCACTTAAGACTTATGCCTGGGAGAAGCAGCTGACCCCACCCTCCTGTCAGAGAGTTGTGCAGTAGTTGTCATGCCAGGCTGTGTCCTTGGAAGTCACCAGGGAATAAGGGAAACCTAATTTCTTTAGACTTTCCACATCCAGGCCATAGGCTACTGAGAAAGGCCCTCTGTGAAGGGCTGATCTGGAGTTGTGGTTTGTGAGGGACTCATAGCCTGTTTTCCTTGCTCTGCTTTCTGATGAATTCTCTGAGGTGCCAAAATAGCCAGAACGCTCCCAGCTGGGCTGGGCACCATCCAGCACCAGTCCCACCAAATGGTGTTTATGTTTGGCAGGGTTTTCAGCTGCTCCTCAGGGGAATGTCTCTCTTTCCAGAAGGGAAAAATGTCCATGTTTCATCCCCAGGGCCACAGAATCATGGAACGATTTGGGTTGGAAAGGAACCTTAAAGACCATCTTGTTCCAGCCATAGGCAGGGACACCTTCCATGAGATCGGGATCTCCACGCCCCGTCCGACCTGGCCATGACCAATTTCTGCTAATGCAAAGACAAAGCCCAAGAAGAAGCTGGGATTAAGACCCTGATTCCAGTAGGCTGAGCTTGCTGATGTTCAAGACTGGTTGGAATAAAAAAAAAATTGGTAATAGGGTTAGATATGCGAAAACCAAGGTATCCTTGAGCATTACTCAACTCCATGGCATGTCAGTGCCAAAACCCCCTGAGGAGCCTTTTGTTTACATTTTGACATGGAGATGTTCACGGTGTTCACTCAGAAATCCATAACAAAGGTTTTCCCAAGGACAAGGTGAGATCCTGAGATGGAAGGATGAGTCACTTAGGCAATTTACAGTGGTGAAAATGCAGCATCCCAACACACCCAACCTCCCAGTGCCCTCAGCAATGTTCACCTACGTGTTTTTCCTTTGCCCAAAATCCCCACAACCTTTAGGGATGGTGTACAAAGATCTTGATGATCACTTTTTGATGGCTCTGCTTTCAAAGCCTGTGGCTCCTTCAAGCTGGAGCTACAAGTTTGGGAAACATCAACTCTACTTTATCTAACACCTGGGACTCATTGAACTGCAGTTTTAATGTTGGGCAATTAGTTTACATGTCTCTGCACTAGTGGAAAAACAAACCCATTTGTTTACACCTTATTTCACTTGCAGGTTCTCAACCTGCAGGATTTGGGCTCCAAACAAAGCCCAGTGGTTTGTTTATGGCAGCAGTAGCTGAAGGACTGAATGGAGCTTTGTTGTGCTGGGTGCTGAACAACCATAAAAAGGGTTAGTCTGTGGCCAAGGAGCTTGTCCCAACATGGACTTGGGGCCAGACTGTGATGTAGAGCCAGAGCTGGGAACTTTGCCCAGGCCCTGCAGTTTAGACATAGCAAGAGAGAGAGAGAATATTTTATTTTATGCACAAAATGCTCATACAAAATCACCCCATCAGGCCTCAGCACTGTTCCCTGTGTGTTATAACAGCAACCAGGACAGGGTTTGCAGCCTTTTCAAGCCTCAAAACGAGCACTGCCCTGGGTGTCCTGCAGGCTGGTTCCTGGCTGGATGGGTTTGGGACCCCGCCAGCACCACCGGGAGCGGCGACGCCAAGTTGGCCTGGAAGTGTTGGGATTTGTGCTTCCCTGGGGTCCAGTCCATCATCCCAGCGGGGTTTCCATCAGCCTGGTGCTGAGCCCGGGCCTGGCAGGGCCCAACGTGCAGCCTGTGCCGTGTGTAGCCACAGGAGGGTGCAGCGTCACCGGGATGGTCCCGCTCTGAGCTCGGGGTCCTCTCCATCCCAGGAGCGGGAGAGGATGCAGGGGAGCCGGGCAGAGAGGATTTCAAGTCTCTCCTGGAAGTTTATCCTCATCTGCTCATCCCAGGAAGAGGAAGCAGCTGGTTGGCGCTGTTTGATGTTGGAGATGAAGTGTGGAGGTCGTTGGTTGCCTGTGAAACCCTTTTTTTCAGGCAGAGTCTGAAAACCCTCTGCCTGTTTCCTGTGAGTATTTGGTCCTTTTACCTTTTCCTGTTTTCTGGGCTTTTGTGCAGGTGATGGAGGCTTTGGTTTGCCAAGGTGTACACAGCTCTGAGGTAGCTCCTTCACCCCTTCAGAGACAGGTCAAGACTGGAGTAAGACCCAGTTTTGGAGCTGGTCTGGTACAAGATGAGGGTCCTCAGTGCTGGGTTTGGGTGCTGGGCTGGGGCAATTGGCCCCAAGCACTCACATTATGTGTCCTTGTATGTCTAACACTTTATTTACTGTCCAGGAGGGACTGAAGACCCTGCATATGAAGGAAAACCAAGTTTCCCTGGGATGGGAGAGGGACTGGCAGCTCACTGTGGAAGGGAAGATGGGCTCGTGCCCCTCAGTCCCTCTTTATCCACACTGAATGTGTTTGGGGCAAGTTTCAGCAGACAGAACGTCCCCGGAGTGGCACCAGGCCATGCTTGGAGCAATTAGTTTTTCCCTGGCCAGAAGCAGAACCATTCAATTAAACCCCAAATACTTTGTTTAGTTGTTCTTTTATGCGTGTGCTTTGGGGGCTCAGACAATGGCCAGCGTGGCCTGGGGAGGAAGGAAACCACTCTGTCCACCCAGCCAGGGAACTGGCCAAAAGTCCAGCCCAGCAGCTCCAGTGCCTTTGAACTCAGTTTTGAACTGGAGAGCCAGGCCTTTCCAGTCTGAGTGCCAGTCAGGGAGAGTGCTCCGAGTGGAGCTGGGGGCTGTGATCCCCCACCATCAGGCAGAACCACAGGATATTCTGGGTTGGAAGGGACCCATATAGACAAAGATCATTGTGGGTCCCTTCCAAGCATCTCCTCCTGTGAGCAAAGGATGTTTTCCCTTCTTTCCTCAGGGCTGTTCGGATGAACACACCTGACAGGCAGCACAAAATACTTGGAGACCAGAGGATGCTCAGGAGGTCACTCCTGGCATCTCCTGCCCAGGTGACACTCCAACGAGTGGAGTCCAGAGGGCCTCAATGAGGGTTTAAACAAGTTCATGAATGACCATGAATTGTGGCTGTTACAGCTCCTGGCTCAGGCCCAGCCCTGCACTGAGTTTACTGATAGAAGAGGATGGAGGAGGATAAACCACAAAAAGTGCCACGGCTTCTTGCTTTGTCCTTCATCCCTTTTCTGAGGTATCCATGGCCAGCATCCCATCAGGACACAGGGCTGGCCAGGCCTTTGTGGCTTTTTCCTTCTCCATCCCCATCTAATGGTCTGGTGGTTCCAGACTAGTGCTGGGTCAGCCTGGGTGGTACCCAGGGCCGTGGCCAAGAGCCCTGGCTGCCCGGGCCTGTCCCAGGGCTGGATCCTGTGGATTTGGCACTGTGTGTACCTACGAGGGTCAGGGGAGGACACGCAGTCTGGAGGGATGTCCTGCAGTCTTGGAATCCACACAACACTCCACAGGGCTGCAAACCCTCCATCCCAGAGCCCCCTGCAATCCCCTCCTGGGCACTGGGGTCTCATGTTCAGGGAACTTGGTTTAATATATATATATATATAAAAAACATCTTTCCCTGGCAGCTTTTCACCCCCTTAACTCTTCATTTAAATCCTCTTAGATGAAAAGGTGCCTTGAGGCTGGTTTTGTGGTCTCTCTGTCCCCAGAGAGGGTCAGACAGGGGTTCCCCTGCCTAGTGCTGTTGTCCTTTCCCTGTGTGCTCCCCCAGGGCCCCTCTCTCTTCTCAGGGAAAAGCAGGGCAGCACATGGCAACCCAGAAAGGCTCATTTTTATAACATTTGCAGAACTGCCAGGTAATTCTCTCTCCACCAAGACTTACAAATGCAGCTTTCAAATCCCAAAGACGCCTTCAGAAGGAAGAAGGAAATGAGCTCCTGCCTTTTATTGTTGCTTATTGTTTTATACGTCCTGAGAGGGCTCTGTTTTTAAACAAGGAGTATTTTATTATTTACAATGTTTATTCTTTACTTTGGAGATGGATTGTCCTCTGTGGGACACTCCACGGTGGCAGGAGAACAAGAGAATTACGGCATCATAGGAGCCAGCGGGGCGAAAATGATGTAACTTGAGAGGGAAGGGACTTGTTAAAACATTAGTGAATTCTTAAGGGCTTTTTTTTTTTAAATTTAAAGCCAATACCTACCATTTCTGTGGAGCACAGCTGCCTTTTGGGCCATTTACTCAGACTCACTGGGTTTTTAAAAGCGTTTTGAAAGCTACGGTTAAAATGTAGGATGGGAAAAATGTTTGTTGTCTGGGGGGAAAAACCGAACCAAAACAAATCCTGGCTGGTTTATCTGCTTCGTCTGCCACTATCAGTGTGACCTCTTTGCTTTATCGCCTTTATTGGGATGTTTTATCTGCCGAGGAGCCTCCGGGGCTGCCCAGAGGTCTCTGCCTGCTCCTTCCCAGAAAGGCTGAGCTGATTAGTTTTATATTCTTTCAGGCAAGACCTGCCTTCTGCACTGATGTCAGCAGTCAG